TTGCATGATTATTCACACTCATGTAAACCTTTTGAAATTTCATAGCTGTTTCATTGCTGTTTGCAAAAAATAACTCAACCTCAGTCAAGCTTTAATTAAAAAAATCTAGGAAGAGTTTTGCCTTGTTGTAAGAAGAAAAACTCCCTGCAGCTACGGCTGCTTTTCTGCTAAAGGAGACCCTCTGCTTCAGTCTTTAATGTTTTGCGTCCAACAATATTTTTTGTCACCATGTTTATTCTCCTTTATCTTTCTGTTTTTAAATCCATATGTCCTCATATTGACTTGCCACCACTATGGGGATAGAGTGGTTAAGGCATGGGGCAGTATTGTTTCCCCTTACATATCAGGTTTTGCATGTGGGACAGGAAGTAGACCTTTTTCTTTCCATCTGACCCAACATGGATTGTGACAAACTGAAATTGGCACAGTGTTGCTACATTGATGGCTTACTTTTTGCCTATTTACCATAAAGGAAAAGGTTGACACAAACGTCTTGGTAAGTTTAATAGTAAAGGCCAGTTTTCAAATGATTTACTAAGCAGTGATCTGTGAGGTGTTGTTTTAACTTTACCTCTGACCTCTCTGTTTTCTCTGGTTCCTCGTGATGCTGTTTGTTCACAAATGTTCACTAATAATTCTTCGAGCCTTTTAAAAATCAGCTGGATTTATTTTGTTGTAGGTATGCAAATGTCTTTCTTCAACCGGTAACAGATGAAATTGCTCCTGGATACCACAGCATTGTTCACAGGTAAGCATTAAATCCATCTTCAGCTGTAAAAAAAAAAAAAAAAAAAGTTAAAACTTTCATAACAACTTTTCCTTTGTTATTGTCTCCCATAGACCCATGGACCTGGCCACCATCAAAAAGAACATTGAGACAGGTTTGTTACGGACCACGGCTGAGTTTCAGAGGGACATCATGCTGATGTTTCAGAACGCCGTCATGTACAATGGGCTGGACCATGACGTGTACCACATGGCTCTGGAGATGCAGCGGGACGTCCTGGAGCAGATCCAGCAGTTCCTGGCCACCCAGCTCATCATGGAGACGTCCGAATCTGGAATCAGTGCAAAGAGCCTGCGGGGCCGCGACAGTACGCGCAGACAGGACTCCACTGACAAGGTGAACACCAAATCAGGGCGGCCTGAAGCATCAGGCTGGTAGAAAAATTGAAGAACATTAGAACAGCTAAATATTCCATCCACTTAGTTAAGTTCTGAAGCTTTGCAACTTTAATGAAAAATCAAAACTTACTATAAAAAAAAACAACCTTTTTCTTCTCTTGTTTTTTACCAATTTATTTCAATTGCTATTGTATTTCTATTTTTGTCTGACACGTTTAGCTGTTAAAGGTTTAATTGTTTTAAAGGCCTTAAATGTCACTACCTGCAACTCCCTCTTTCCTTCTGTGTGGTGACAGACCCACTAAAAGCGTAACACTGCCACCTAAAGAGCTGTGAAAAAGTGAAAAAATTTATTAAATGCAACAAAAACAAATATTAAGTCCCTCGATGATTTAAAACATTTTTTTTTCTTTAATTCTCAAGTCCTTCATGTGCTTTTAATAAACTTACATTGATGCAGTTCAGGTGTTTGGAATCTACCAAGGATTTATTTTAAACCAAGTGAAGTCTCTTAAATTAAGTTTGCATCTTGTGAGCAAGTAATCTTTTTATTTAAAAAAAAACGTAGGTAGTTTGGACTAGGGCCTCATAAGATCAGGAAACCTGTACAATAAGTGCATGATGTTCTTGAATACTCTTAGGATGATATGAAAAAGGGAGAAAAAAAATTTGTTTAGCAGATTTGAAGCACAATGACCTTCCTAGAATCGTATCAGAATAGTCCAGGAAAAGCTAATAGCGAAATAAAAGCTGTTTTGTTAAAATGACTGCGTTATGCATCTGTTCCTAAATAGTTTTTAGTGACGCTGACCACAGAATATGCAGCTTGAATAAAGTCAGACAGTAAACAAAGACCCATTCATCTTAGATTTAGAAAATTGCTAAAAAATGTTAAAGAATAGAGGCGAGAACAAGACAATTAAAACCTATTATGCAAAAATATATATGTCTCTGGTGTTTTTTTTCCTTTTAAGAACATACCTGTCCATCTCACAACAAGACTCAACTGTTTCATTGAATCCAGTAAAACATTATATAGAACTACACTGACAAATAAAATTGTATATGAAGAATGAAAATATTAATATAAGTGGAACAGCATTTGTTGATGCAGTTCCTGAGACAAACCAAGCATGTTATTTCAGAAATGTCTCGCCTGGACTAGATGCGCAAAGAAACGGCGAATGTTTGCTTTTTGCATTACCAATTCCTATAGAAATAGGATCCATAAGCAGTTTTCTTCTCCCCATTAAATCCTGTCATGCTCATTTGTTTCACTCTTCCAGGACACCGTCTCCATGTCCTCTCCAGCCTTCCTTCTTTCTCTCTTTGTAAGTAGAAACCTTAATTTCACAATTTATATTCAGATTTGTAATTTTTTCTAAAATGCTGCTTTTCTCTTATTTTTCATGGTAGGACGGCGGCACCAGGGGGCGCCGTAGTGCCATTGAGGCTGACTTGAAGATGAAGAAGTGAAAATTGCTGATAAAACTCTTGGAAACCAAGTTTATAAAGCGAAAGAACATGGATGAGTGTTGGTCAGGGGGTCTACCGTGTGAATTTAACTTGATAAAGTGATAAAGCATAAGCGTGGGAAAGCTCTGCTCTAAGACAGCCATCAAGATATGGATTATAGATCACTGTGGGGCATCCTGTGTGAGCAGGTCAAACGTTTCATCCATGTTGCTGCAGATCACTTAGACTTAACCTGCTTCCATCTGCCTGGAACAGTAAAAACCTGCAGAGATTTACTTCCTCACAATGTTTCAATAGCTGTGGTCCATATATAAGGATATTAGTTACCCCTTGCCTACAGTTTGGTTGTTTAGTGTTTTTAACTCATAAAAATGTGTGTGTGTGTGTTAGTGTAATATAAAACCAAAGGTCAGAGAGTCTGGGAAAAGGTCTGCTTCTTAAAGAGGCAGAGCTGAACGGCACATTCATCCCAACCGAAAGGCCTTTTGTGTAACTTTTCATTTCTTAACCTATTTTGAAAGTTTGTTTTCTTAAAATGTGTGTTTTTATTTTCAATTGTGTAGAAATAACTTTCCCTCGGTGACACTTCCTGTGAAACAGTAACAATTTTGAAATTTTGTTTGGATTTATGTTTCATGTATCTGAGCAAATGAGATGGTATTCATTTGTTTTATGGACCAGAAATTGTTAGAACACAATAAAATTGTCCTGGAAGCAGAGAAAGGTCCAGTTCTAGTTGTGTTTAGTTTGATTGAATGACTGGATGGACTAAGAGATGGATGGTAAATGGATCAATAGGATTACAGGGGATGGATGGATAAATGGATGGATAGTAAACAAATGCTTGGATGATGGATAAAATGTTTGAAGGATTGATGGAGGGATGAGGAGGAAATGATAAGCGAATAGAAGAATGATGGCAGAACAAGTGAAGCCATAGTGAACAAAATGAATAAGGACTAGAGGGGTGGATGAAAAAATGTATGGATAGGCAGATAAAGGACACTTTGATGGGTGGAGAATCTGGTTTAATGGAAACCTACTCATTTTTCCAGACCCTATCTTTTTTCTAGACATTTCCATATCTGCAAAGCTGTGATGCGCATGCCATAGAAAGTTTTAACATTTCCCCCCAATGCTAAAAAAGTCTTGGCAGCCAGACATTACATAAGCTTTAGTATCGGACAATTTAAAATCTTATCTTAATTTCTTAATATGCCATCAAACCCCATGCAGGTACACAGTAGCTGGATGAGAGGGTTTAGATTTTGACTGATCAGCATTATGGGTTAGTGATTCTGACTCGTCTGGGAGGTCCTATAAAAAAGGAGATAAACTTTATGTGGAGTTTTGTTCAATTATTGCTACAAGGAATAAAACAGTATTCAACAGAAATTAATTACAACAAAATCCAATCTAAGAAAACTCTTGTTCAAAAAATTTTGTAAGAGTAACTTTGCTGTTTTCTCAAGATTGTTTTTTTTATATATACTTATAACCTTTTCTTTTACAAATTTTATCATTTCAAATGTTATTTTTATTCAGTTTTTTTTTCCATATCTAGTTTTATGAGTTGCATCCTCTCCACATCAAGATGACAAGCTGTCGCTCTTGATTAACCAATTAAAATGTTGCTAACTTCCATGCAGACAAATCTAAATGCGTCAAAAAGCTAAAAAAAAATAAATAGAATTATTTGAACAAAAATAGGATAAAACAGCTGTTACTCTCAAAGCCTTTTTTTCTATTAAAATTGCCCTGGAATCCAAGGGGATCAAGCTTCCGTCAGTGAGCCCCAGGGCAACTGTGGCTACTGTACAATGTAGCTTGCCACCATCAGTGTGTGGTTGAATGTCTGAATTTAGTGTAAAGCGCTTTTGTCAAGTCTCCTGACTTGAAAAAGCACTAAATAAGTACAAGGCATTTACTATTTATTTTTTAAATATCATTTCTCTATTACATTTTTTCACAGTTCCATTTACAATGCATGTTCTTTGCTTACAAGAACAATGGAACGAAATGATATCCATTTAGTAGCCACTAAAGTTTTAAATACAGGTAATGAGTGGTTTGCTTTTGCATTAGTGGTAAAAATAAGAGAAAGGGTCTTAATGAGCAAGGAAAAATAAAAGGTGTCACCACAGCAAAGGACAGCCGCACGAAATGACATCTAAATTAAATAGAAGTACTCTGTGACAAATGCACTCATTCATTTTTGGATAGGAGCTTCTTTAAACCCTCTTGAATCAGAGAATAGGCTGAAAATGTTGCTCAGCTTGAATCATCTCAATTTATCGCTATTCTAATACATAAAAAAAAAAAAAAAAAAAGTTGACCTCTCATCCTACTTAATCAACATCAAATCAAAATTGCATAAAAAAGGACAGGCAACATTTCAGTACTGGTTACAGCTTTCATTTTAATGTCTTTTTGGCCGACAGCTTACAATTAAATCCGTAACATAACTTGCAGTTATACATATTAAAACCTAGCTTGTGTTTTTAAATGTTTGTCAGATAACGGTTTAAACCTGAATATTTTTGTCCATTCACATTTATTGTCAAATAATAAATATGTTATAGAAAACAGGAAAAAAGAACAAAGCTCTGGGATGCATGCAAACATCACTGTCTGGAGCACAGAGGATGAGTTTTAACTTAAAAGTGCTAAAAATCAACCTGAATATTTCAGTACCACAGCTAAGGCAATATGGCAGGCTAAGTGCATGACAATAGTTCAGATTTTTAGAGATATTGTAAATTAGGATTTTGGATTAGTGTAAAAAAAACAATTTTTGGATGGTGTGACCATCCTGTTTGAGAAAATTAAACAACTCTGAATGTCTACAAAACAAAACTAATTTTTAATTTGTTGTTGGAAAATCAGGCCCATCAGGTTGGATGTATTAAGTCTCCTTTATAAAAGATGTGTCCAAAATAATGGGAAAACCATTCAATGAAAATTAATGCATATTTATTGTAACTGTGTCTTAAATAAGCATTGATACCCATTAAGTTTCTTTTTAAAAACTAACTGTTATGTTCATTTTTATTTGGCAGACCACAACTTACTCATAAATTAGAGGCAATCGGAGTTGCACAAATTTTTCTGAAAATGTTTCCACACCTTTCAAGGCGTCTTTGTTAATTCTGGCAAGTCAAAGCTGTTATTTGACAGACCAGCACAAAGTAGTGAATGAGTGCAAAGTGGAAGGAAACGTGAAAAAAAAGGCAAATCTATTTATAATCAAATTCAGTTTAATCATAGTTTAAACTAGCGCTGAAACAATCAGATTAATCACAATTGATTGATTATTGAAATAATCGTTAACTAATTTAGTAATCGATTAATCATTAACTGGAGTATTGAGACTCTAAAACCTACCATTAGCCTACAGAGCAACAGTAATTATACCAAAATTGTATAATAATAAATAAATAAATATCTATAAAGAACTTGTCCATCCGTCAATCTGCTCTATCCAGAATTCCTTAAGTGGAAAAGTTTTAGTTTCACCTGGTTTCATTTTGTAAAAAGTTTTCTGTAAGGAAGCTTCAGCTATCCGATTATCGATTAATTAAAAAAATAATCGTCAGATTAATCGATTTGCTAAATAATCGCTAGTTGTAGTCCTGGTTTAAAACTTTTTTAAGTTTAAACTACGATTGTTTAGTGAAGGCTTTAAAAGGGAAGATAAAAAATAGCCCTGACTGAAAAGAACCATGTAGACTCAGAACAAACCGCTTCTGGAGAAATTTGTGGCAAAGTTAAAAGCAGAGTCAGGTTACAAGTCATGTAATGACAGCAAATGTGGAAGACGTCCTGGTTCCAGGAGGCCTAAGCGACCTAAGCGAAAAGGTTTTGGATGGGATATTAGTAACGCTGCACATCACCCTGATCTCACCTTTTCCCCGGAGCCAGGCAGCATCATGCTGTGGGAACGCTTTTCTTTAGAGGATGGGAAGATGTAGTGAGCGTACCCTGGAGGACAATGTATTAGAGGCGTCAAAAGGGAAGAAAATCATTTTTCATTGTGATGGTGACTCTATAAACGTAGAATCAGAGTGACGATAGAAGGGTTCGTATTGAGCAGATGCATGTGTTAGAATGTTAGAAATACGATCCCATCTGTGGCAAGACATAAAAATTAACTTTCAGTGCGAATCAGACTGATCTATTTTATGAAGAACAGGAACAAACGTCCATCTCTACATGTGACAGCTATTAAAAGTTTGGAGCTGATCCCTGTCACACTTTACGGTTGTATTCTGAATCATTATCAACCAATCGAAGAGCAAGAACTATAAAAAAAAATAACTCATTGCCTCAAAATACATAACCTTCCTGCCTTTTTTCTTATTTTCTTTACAAATACGTACTACTTTGTTTTGTTCTATCACTTAAGATCCAATAAAAATACAAGTTTGAGGCTATAAAGTGACAAACTGATGAAAATATGGATACTTCTGCAAAGCACTGCGTGTTATAGCTGTCTGCATACTGCCATAGCTCCCAGTGACGATCAGTAAACGTGTGCACATCGGAGAATCAAAGACTTTTCACACAAGAATACTTTTTGTTTCTTTACACAAGAGTTTTGAAATGCAGCCTCAGAATGAGCTGTAATAAATTCTTGTACAACCATTAGTGCTTTTTGAGGCAAAAAACATTTTATTATAAGAAGTGCAGAAGATTTAATTGCTCCATCTCAGTTTGGAACACCTAAAATGTCCAATGTGACTTTAGCAATACACGTGTGCTGATTTGTCCAAACACTGCAGTATCATTTAGGTCTCTGCACTAATTTCCTAAAGAAAATCATGACTAACATTCACCCTGTTATCTAACAAATAAATACATCTAAAATTTCAACAAAGACACAAGGAAACAAACTGTAACCTGAACAGATAAAACGGTGTTTCCCAAACATACGCCGCCCCTTTTAGCCCCCAGGGGAGACTGCATATGACATGCCACTTCTATAAGAAAGTTTGACGGCTGTGAGACATCATACACCCTGCCAGAGGGAGTTTGCACCCCCTGCTGCTACACCGCCACTGTGCGACTCCTTATTTTCCTACCGCCCAAGAGAAGGCACGTTGTTTCCACAGGCGCAATCTCCCCACTGGCTGCACTGCACAAAGTGGCCAGAAAGGGCAAATTACACACTTGGCTAAAGAAACGTCTCCTCCTCCAACACTGTCCTCATTTCACTCTCAGGCGGCCAACCAGTCGCTGCAGTTTCTCACAGTTATCCAGCCTCATGGACTCGGCCTTCTGCTTTAACCGCTCATCCCGGTAGAGCTGTCCCAGGTTTGCCAAGTCTGATTCTGTAAAGAAAGACAGACAAATGTGGATATGAACCACAAAAACATTATGTCTTTTGTTTGTTTTACCTTCATTAGTGCAAAGAAACATCCAATAACTTTAGAAAATGCGGCTGTAACTGTTTAGAACTCCAATCTGGGACGTAAAGACGACTTTCCCCAAACATGCAGATAATAACAGCTGGACAGTTTCAGTTTTTTAATTCAAGCTTGGCAACAAGTAATCTCTCATTTTAGGGACTCTAAAAATCTATACCAATACCTAATTTACAGTGATGTGGGGAAAACAAAATGTTTGGCTTGTTCAAGCAACTTTAGCAGAAAAAGCGTTGCTCCCTAAGTGATGAATTGAATGTAAAAGAACATTTCCACTGTAATATCAATGAATAATAAAATTAATAAAGAATGTTAAAAAAAACAAGAGTTTTTATCCATCAAAACGCAATCCGACAAAGCAATTTTGTACATTTCATTTTTAATATATCAAAAGATGGGACTTTTTCCCCAATGTTTACATTCCTTTAAGTCAGTTTGCTTTGCAGCAGTGGAGGTTCTCGAATAAAAGACTCTAAATCACCGTCAAAGACGCAACTGCTAACCTCACGGTGGGGAGTACAGTTTTTTATTTGCTTATTTTCTCAACTCTGTGACTTATTATGCTATTTTTACACATTTTTCCAAGGTCCAAAGGCCATAACTTGACTAAGTCATTGCAATACTTTAATCCTGTCCTTAAAAAGTGAGTAAGGATGTACCTGTGTGATTTTTTCTTTTGAAGCCATAACTGTAGCCTTTCAGTTTCCTTTCCATTATTAAACAATTTTACTCATCTGACAGTGTCATTATCTGGGCTAACTAAGAAGTTGAGCAGGATGCTGGCTTACTTTGCTGCTTCTCCTTCCAGCAGCTGCTCTGTAGGTGTTCGATATAGTCGCTCTCGATGTTTTTCTCCAGTTCTTCCAGCGCGGATCCTCGGTACTCCTTCTGAAAGCTTTTGTCCACATAATACGGTACGCCCATGTGCTGCGTTTCTCTGGACACCACCAGCCCCATCGCCCTGACATCAAAAGAAAAAAAAAAAACACCAATTCAGATGCTCTCCCTGGATCTAGGGTGGAAAACCTGGAGGAGCATTGAAAATATCATTATCATAAACTCACGGCTTGTAGAATAGACTGTAGGGCGGATTAGTGGCCATCATCTGAGTAAAAACTGATATGAGGATCAACACCAGCACGGGGAGAAGCTGCAGCAGAGCTGTGAAGGTGTTCTGTGGGAAGATGGAATCAGCAGAGACTGTGAAACATGTACTCCTTCTACTGCATTACATCAGCAATCCTGATGTCATCTTTTAATCCACCTGCAGCTGTGAAAAACATCCAGTTCATCAGGACTTATCGCTGCTTCTCCAGGTAAAGACAACATCATGCCACTGCAGCTGTAATGAAGGGATCATGTTTATCTTGAGAGAGCAGCTAACCTGGCTCTGGTTTTCCTCCACCACCTCCTCCCGCCTTTCCTGAGCCCGTCGACGACGAGGTTGGTAGAACTGAGAGTAGGAGGCGCCCTGGTTGGTGTATACATGAACGTTTCCTGCAGAGAATCAAACGATAGAGAATGCTCCTGACGGGGAAACAAATGCCACCTCTTCAAATAGCCCTCCACACACACACACACCTGTGGGAAATCTTCCACCAAAGAAAATGTTGAAGAGCTCCTCAGGTGAAATGTCGGCCTCGAAGTCTCTATAAAAGCTCCGGTAGTGTCCGGGTCGGCTGTGGCCAGAGTGATGGGGTACGTTAGAGGGTGGACACTGATCTCCGTACTGATCGTACTGCTGCCTCTTCTCTGGGTTACTCAGCACTGCGTATGCATTACCGATTGCTAGTGGGAGAAACAGAGAAACATTGATATCCAGCATAAAAATTAAGCTTGGTCTAATTGGACCTGCTGATCCCTCTTCCTGACAGCAGTGTGCCCAATTACTGTGACTAGAAATCATCTAAATTGTCTAATTCTACTACATGCCTTCCACCATCTTTTCTGATGCTCCTAAAGATAGTTGGAGAGAGCCTCATTAATAACTGGTTGAATAAAAACCATTAAAATCCTACTTCTCACCTATATAGCCGTAAATGGCTGTGACAGCCTGCTGTTACACTCTGAAGCTGTGTGGTAACTTTTACATTTTTTCATTTTCAACATGAGTTGCACATTTCATATATTTTCATAAGCCTGACTTTGAGTTAGCTTTTTGCAGTGCACACATTTAGTTAACTTTATTTGTCAGGTTGTTGATTGATTGCCAGTTTCCTCGGGATCTGCTGGTGGAGGGCTGCAATTAGCTCCAGCTTTCCTCAATTGGTTATTGCAGGCTAATCAGCGGATCAAACCATTTGTAATGGGAAGGGACATTTATTTTTTTATCATTTGTTTAAATATTCTTAGTTTGGGTAATTTTGTTAATTAGTTAAATAAAAAAAAATATTTAGTGTCTGGCCAGTATTTATCTGTTTAAGTTAATTTGTTTATCAGTTTGTTAGTCAATTATCCAGCTTGTGTGTCAACAGTGGTTTGATCAGCCACTATTTAAGTTTCCCTTATGTCCTGTTTGTTTGTGCTTGAGTTCTTTATTTTAAAGCCTGAATTGAATTCTGTTTTGTTAACCTCTGTTTTTGGGCCTAGTTTATCATTTTTTGAACACTTTTGGAATAAATTAAGACTTTTTTTGAAAAATTTCATTGGTTTTCTGGCTGGTTTGTGCAAATCCCTCACAATGGCCAAGCTCCATCTTATATCAGAGATCTGATTGTTCCTTATGTTCCTAACAGAGCACGTCACTCTCAATCTGTAAGTTTACTAGTGGTTCCTTGAATTTTTAAAAAGAGAATGGGAGGCAGATCTTTTAGTTATCAGGCTCCTCTCTTGTGGAACCAACTACCAGATTTAGTCCGTGAGGCAGACACCCTGTCTACTTTTAGACTGAAGTTGTCAGATGCTCTCTTGGAAGTTGTTGTGATTGAATTTCATTAAACTTTTAAGCCTTTCAGTATAAAATAAATATTCTTATCAAGATGAGAAATCTGCTTCCTGGTATGCTTAAGTACCAATAGTTTCCATCCAATAATTTACTTAAACGGTCTTAGTTTTTGGTAATATACAAGATTTATGCTCTAATTTGTAGTTACCAATCTATCGTTACCATATTTTAATTTGACAAACAGGGTCTTTTTAACGTTCTTTTTCCTGTTTGGTGGGATTGCAATTGCAGGTCTTGACCTGGCCGGACCGGATCAGAGCAAAAAATAGTTCGGCTCGGTATTTCGACGGTGATGGACGGAGAAGACATAAGTAGACGGTGACGTGCAGAGGAGTGGTGGTGGATGTGGAACAGTTGTCATTGATTAACATGACAGACAAGTACTTTGCATGATGTACGTGAGTGGGGAGGAGCGGAGGGCTGACAGAGGATGTGGAATCTGGGGGTGAGTCTGGTTCTGCTGGAGGTTTCTTCTTGTTGAAAGGGAGTTTTTCCTCTCCACTGTCGCTACAAGCACCCTTAGTGTGAGGGATTGCTGTCCAGTCAATGAGTCAATGAAATCAGCTAGTTTCCTTAGATAGAAAACTTTGAATCAATTTGACTGGATGATCTGGTTGAATTGTACAGTGCCTTTAGATGACGTTTTGTAAATTGGCGCTATATAAATAAACTGAATTAAAGTGCATAAGTTGGTCTTTACTTATGTGTTTTATAACGCCCTTAGTAACAGAGTTACGTCATCTGTAACAGAGTAATCCAACTGATTACCAAGGTTATTACTGTAAAGTAAAACTAACGAAATGACGTAAGCTAGAATGAAAGAATATTTTAGTTAACAGTTAAGAAATAAAAATGAAAACTAGACCTTGACAAATAAAAGGAAAAGTGAAAGCGTAAAAAGAGTTTATAAAACCTATCCAAACCAAATTAATTTTCCGAGAGAATATGCTTAATTTCCCTTAGTTATTTTATAATACGAGTTCTGGTTTCCAGTTTCTTTTTTTCCCACAATACCACATTACCAGCAGACGGCAGGTACGGCATTCATGTCCGCCATGGAAAACTGACCGCTCTTATAGTCCCTCTGACACAATGATGCTTTTAGGTACCGAAACATGTTACTGTTTAATTTTACCTGGTGGTACTGATGGAATTTGGTCAGTGTCTATAAAAGTACATAATTCGGTACCCATCTCTGCAAGTAATGCAGACGACTATTCAGCCTGTAATTGTTGCTACATTCACACTGCAGCCTGAAGTGACCCAAACCTGATTTTTTTGCCCATATGCGACCTGGATCTGATCTTTTAATGGCAGCCAATTTTTCCCAATTCGACCCAGGCCACTTGGTTATGTGGTCCTGAACCCGATACGAATCTGATCTTTTCAAATGCGACCTGTGTCTGAACGGCCACGGCATTAATACCTGACAAAAGTCACTATTCTGCATCTTGCTACGCAGAAGCGGCAAGAAAAACAACAACCATGGCAGATGATGATGCGGAGAGCAGTATTTATGTTTAACCATGTGAAAAGATTGAGTTTTTATGGTTGGAAAAGACCGCTAGATGCACGCCGGCACTACCATCAATCTTTACTTCCGTAAACACAGAGCACACTGGCCTGTGACATCATTGCGTCCTCTACTGCGCATGCGGGACACTTGCGTTGTATGACTGCAGTTCACACAGGAGATCACACACAAGTCGCATATATTAGGCAAAAAAAAAAAATCGGATTTCACAAAAAAATCGGAATTGAGCATCAAGGCCTGCAGTCTGAACTTAGCCTAAGAGGGAAACTCGAGGTGATGGTGGAGAGATCTGCAGATTCAATCACAGGTTCCAAAACTGCAAGTACTCTCCTTTTATTTGCTCATTATATCCAGGAGCAAAGATTTTACCCACTAAGCAGCTTTAACCTAATGAAGCACCTCACATCGTTTTAACAACACTAACTTACTAATGGCTGCCTTAGTTTATCAAGATTTTGATCCTTACTTCTATTATTTTTGTTGTTTTTCCCTGGAACAATGACTCCAGTTTAGTATTATCACAAATTATACTTCTTTTTTAAATTTTTGTATTATTGTTATTGTAATGCCAGATGAAGGCCATTAATGGGCATAAATATCAAGTTCTTAAAGATCTACTTTACTTTATTTGGCTATAAACCAAACAGCGTAGAAGCACTTTTGTGGTCAATAACATCATAAGGACTTGATGGATAAATGCTCTTAATTCCTTACTTACAACAGGAAGTCTGTCCTTGTGAACACAAACATTAAAAAACATGATGCAGCATTTCATCTACTGTATCCTAACCTACACTTAGCACTGCTGTCTAAAAGGAAGAGCCACTGAACATAGAGTTAAAATGATCTGATGTTTTCAGTTATTATTAGCAAACAATATATATATATATTAATTTTTTCCCCCCAAAAACTGTACATATGCTTTCCATCTTTCAGCTTTCACTTTATTTCCGTTTATTAGGCATTATTTGCTAAATAATGATATGTTTAAAAATGCTTATTGTGCTCGCTAAGTAATAAATTAACTTTAAATATGATTAGGCTCACTATTTGGCAAGAAACCGCTCTGTTTAGTCTGTTTTTTGCCCTTAAATGATAAACACTTATGAATGAGATATCAAGTGTTTACAGAATAATGAATAACATGTCTATAAACTATTAAACCATAGCTACCTCTTATTCAAAGTGGTACCATGTTTATTTACATTGCAACCAAAATTTACAGTCAATTATATTTAAATTTGATGTAACAGACCACCACAAAATGTATAATTGTGATGTTTTTACAGATATTTACAAATAAAAATTTTAAAAAGCAAGACATGCTTTTCTTTTTAGCCAATAAAGTCGAGCAGACCCAAAATAATCTAACAGGTAAATAGAGAATAGGTCAAATCCATTCTTTAAGATAAGATAAGAGCAGCAAGGAGAAGAGATTATTGAAAGAAATGCTTTCTTGGGAGACTTTTTGCATTAAAAAAAGTGAAAAGATGAAAACAGGAGCCATACGGAACATTCTCACTAGTAACTGTAAAATGAAGGCTACATTTTTTAAACCAAAAAACCCTCAACTCTCTGCAAAGCAAACCAAGGCATAGGGCTGGGCGATAGGACGAAACAAATCTACGGACGATAAAAAAGTGTATATAGCGCTAATTCTATTCTATCGTTTCTAACACAATTGTATCTCATATTCAAGCAAATATTTCCCATGGTAGACTATGACAAACATATTAGTGTAGCCACGTAGCCTACACACAGCTTATAATTGATAAAAAGATTCCTGTGGTTTTGCAACATGACGTTTCTTTACGGCTTTTGACTCACATGTGGGTTTGCGACATGCTTTATGTTACTTAATCATGAGAGATGGAGACGCAGGAGGCTGAAGTGTTAAACTTGTGTTCGCAACAAATAGTGACAGCTACGCAGGCAACCCAAGGTGAAGCACTTTTACCAAAAAGAGTGCACAGGTCTGTGATTTGGTTACATTTTGGATTTTAGAAGTCCAACACGAAGCAGACAAAGGTCATTTGCAAACTATGTTACAAGACTGGTCCTACGTCGACAATGTCTCCTTTACGTTTGCACTTTTTTGATAGCTGATGCCTTAAACAGTTTACAGTTATATTCAACCCTGATTTATTTAATTTTGATCGTTTATTTTGCTATTATGGTATGCAAACTTTGCACTACAAGGTTACAGATTTCAGAAACTTGAAAAACTATTTTTTTTAACTATCTTTTGTTCAAAATGTGTGCTTTTCTACTCAGAAACTTAAGAAACTAAAAATTAGTGCACTTTGATTTATTTATTTGGGTCATTTAATTTAAATACCTGTAGGATTTTGAAAAAATGTGAAGGATACTGTAGCCATACCCCCACCTCATCTTATGCATACATATTGCTGCACTACAATCTATTTTTCTAGTTTGTGACAGTTCTATAAATGTCACTTCAAAATAAACTTGGAAAAAGTAAGCAATTATATTGTTTTGTCATTTTTTTCAGAGATTTGCTAAAAATGTACTTAATTGGGGCATATCTATCATTATTGTTATAAAAAATAGTCCATATCATGATATATGATTTTTTCCATATTAACCAGCACTACCAAGGCAAATTCATTTAGTAGAATGGCCTAGTCAAAGTCCATACCTACATCCAGATGAGTATTGAAGTTTTTCAAAGAAGAAACACGGAAACATCTTGAATTTAAATGGATGCCTAATCTTTTCAATTTTTATTTGAGAAAATCTAAATCTTAAACCATAGAATCATCTCCTCTAACGTCCTGTAGGTTCATCACACAATACTCCAATTAATGGAAGTTTGTGGTTGTGACAAGATATGAACAGGGTTCATATGATAAGAACATTTTTGCAAGGCACTCATTAAAGCACAAAAACTTATATACATTTTTATAAAGTGTTACGGATGTTAGACAACTAAAATGACATCTGACCCCAAAACAACTGTTTTGTGTTGTGTTTTGTGGAGTACCTTTGAAAGCATCTGTGGCCCCTGGGGCAAAGTTCTTGTCTGGGTGAAACTTCAGGGCCAACTTCCTGTACGCCTTCTTCAGATCTTCATCACTGGCACCTTTGTCAACGCCGAGGATTTCATAAAAGTCTTTGCAGTTTTTTATTCTGTGGTAACAAACACGCTGGTTGTTAGAAAAGCAGCGTGGGGGACTGTGGGAAGAAGATTGAAGTTTTCCAGAGTTTACCTGAACACACCCTGTCGCTGCTCCTCAGTGTAGGTCTTCTTTTCATCAGAATTGGCATTCCTGGTTTCTTGGTTTCCAAGGTCCTCGTCTCTCCAGCCTGAGGGCGGAGGAACGTGGTTGGCTTCTGAGGACGCACTGCCTCCATTTCTCAGAATGGCATCTATCAGCACTGAAACCAGCAACAGAAGTGTTTGCATTCAACAGTGAATGAGTCAAGAAATCAGATAAGACAGATATGAATAAAAGAAAATAAAAGAGAATCAAAAAACATTTTTATGTGCTTTTAAATGTAAGTTTTTATCAAATTAACACTTATCTGGTAATGCTTAAAGCTATTAAACAACACTGGTCAGGGGCCTAAATACACTCACTATAGGTATGAATTGGATTATTGTATTTCCTTTAAACAACAACTCAGTGCAGAAGTTTCTCTTTTTTTTTCAAAAAGACCCACAAAGACCCAACAACTTATAACCTGGAAGTGCTAGAACCTACATAACTGCTTACAGTTAAGCAGGTTTTACCATCAACAAGAACAAAGAAGCTGAAAACCAAAAAGGAAAAAAACTATTAATATTTTGAGGCATGTATGAAGTTTCTAACCACTCACATATAAAAGCCGAAGATCTTCTGAAGGCAAGATTTAGGGTCAGACGAGACGAAGATTAAGCTATAGAGACAAGGGGAGGCTCCCAAATCTAAGAACTGTTAAGCACGGTGGAGGTGGCATTATGCTTAGGGATAATATTGGACAAAGTAGTGGGAATAGAGAGCTACTTGCTCATTCTTGAACTTAAACTTAATGTTCCTAATAAGTCTAGACTTAAATCCAGTTTGTGTCAGGAAACCAAACCTTTTATTAGAACTCTACAATCTATGATGAAGATTAAAAAAAAAGAAAATCATGAAAAACTGGTTGCAAACTAAAAACTGTGTTCAACTTTTTAACCACCCATTAAAGAGCATTTATAAACAAAACACATGAGGTACATAGGGAAATTTATATTAAGTTTTGACCAGAAAAAATAAATTTAGGAAATTTATTTCAATCTAAATCTTGTCTCTTAAAACTATTTGAATTTGTACACTGTAACATCCCAGACTGATGGAAAACGCTGCAACAAATGGGAGATTATGCATTTAAATGATATATTAAGAAATGTAAAACCATTTTGTTAAATGTATATCATAGACTTTTATCAATAAGGATGTGAAAGTTGTATAAATTCAATGAAAAAATTGTAACAAACTGCTGGACATTATGAACGATCGCCAGCCACCCTCTGCACACTGTCTTCACCACTCAGAGGAGCCTGATCAATGAGAGATTGCTCCTCCCCAAATGCAGAATCAACAGACTGCTGAACTCCTTTGTTCCCAAAGCTATCAAGCTGTACAACTCCTCACTTGGGGGGAGGAGGAGGTGATAAGAAGAGGGACAAGGGTCAGCACCCCCCTCCTTGGACACCTTGTGCAAAACATCACCTATTGTCACTCATGTGCAATATCCTTTTCTCTCACTGTGCAGTAACACATGCCAACTACTGTGTAGTCTCTGTAATTTTTTACTTTTATATATATATATATATATATATATATACCGTATTTTCACGACTATAAGGCGCACTTAAACGTCTTTTTTTTCCCTCAAAATGTGCGGTGCGCCCTTTGTGTGTTGTAACTGCGACTTTTGAGACCACCTCATTGAGGAGATGATGAAAGAGTGGCTGAATGTAAGGAGACCAGGTGTTTTTTTTTCCACTCATCACCATCGCTGTTAATCTGTGACTCCATGCGTGCCCATCTCACAGCTGATGTGAAAAACATGGTGAAACAAATTAATGCTGTGCTCGCTGTTATTCAACCGCTTGACATCGGTGTGAACCGGACGCAGCAGGTGCAGCAGAAGCAGCGTGTTTACATGCAAAGTCAATGGTTTACGCACGTTTAGGCGCAGCAAAAGGTCCCGCAGCGCGTTTTGAGCAGCAGGCGCTGCGCGTCGGGAGCGTTTAAGCATCTGCCAACGCACTGCTGCTGCTCGAGATGGAAAAATTTAAGTTTTGCTGCTGGACGCGCCGCATCAACCAATCAGAGAAGCTGATCTGGGAGCTGACAGCGAGACAGACACAGCGCTCTGATGACATATGATATTAAGGCAAATCAAAAAGGCTGGATGGATGAGGAGATGATGAAAGCGTGGCTGAAGCAGGTGTATGTGAGGAGACCAGGTGTTTTTTTCCACGCATCACCATCGCTGTTAATCTGTGACTGCGTGCCCATCTCACAGCCGATGTGAAAAAAAAGGTGAATCAAATGAACGCTGTTATCCCGGAGGTCTGACAAAGGAACTTTAACCGCTCGACATCGGTGTGAACCGGCCGTTCAAAGTAAGGCTGCGAGCGGCGTGGGAGCGATGGATGACAGACGGAGACCAAAGTTTCAGGATAAATGGAAGGCATCGCCGGGCAAGTTACGCCACCGTTTGCGGATGGATTGTAGATGCTTGGACTAACGTGTCTGCTGGCTCTGTTGTTCAAGCTTTCGCAAAAGCCGGCATTATTTCTGAGGAGCCGCCCGGCACGGAAAGTGACTCTGACAGCGAAGAAGGGGAAATTGGCATGTCTGCTTTAGCGCAGCTGTTTAATTCAGAAACAGAGGATGATGACTTTGATGGGTTTGATTAATACTTTGTAATAAATACTTGAATAAAGCACAATCATACTCAGTTTTGCTCCCGCTCTATTTTTCTACCTGAAAACTTAATTCAACAGCAGCATCTGGGCGGGTCTCCTCCGGTTTCACCGCAGCGGCTGGCAGGTGTTTTTTCATCTAAATAATCTAAATCTTGCAGCTATATTTGCTGTGATCAGTGGGAATAAAGTAGTTTTAATGTTTTTAAGTGAGAAAGTCCACCTGAAAACTTCATAATTGCAGTCAGTTCATCCAGATTATCATCCTGCCTATACTATTTCTGTCGGAGTCGCTCAGACCCCCACATACCAGCGGTGCGCCCACAGCAGGAATCCCTTCAACAGCAGCCTCTAGGCCGGGCAGCCTCCGGGTTCACCGCGGCGGCCGGCAGGTGTTTTTCATCTAAATAATTTAAACTGTAGGCACCAGGATACCGGCAATAAAACCGAACATATTCCGTCGGCAGGTTTCAGGATTTTAAGTTAATTTAGGAGTGATCACAGCGCTCTGTCATCTGCGATGTGTCTGTCTCACGGCCAGCTCCCAGGTTTGATTAATACTTTGTAATAAATACATGAATAAAGCACAGTCATACTCAGTTTTGCCCCTGTTGTATTTCTAAATACGCAGTAGAGGTATTTAAACGTAGTAGAGGACATGTACCTGTATATAAAAAACGCGCCCTATAGTCCGGTGCGCCTTATGTGTGTGTTAAATACAGAAATGGCACACATAACTGAGGATGCGCCTTTTAGTACGGTGTGCCTTATGGTCGTGAAAATACGGTATATATATATATAAGGTCAGTACATCTCTGCATTGCAATAACCCAAGTCAGCTACTGTGTAGTCCCACCTTAGTTCTCTACTGTGCCAATATTTATATACCTAAAGGAAACATATCTATTGTATAATTTTATTTTATTTTTATCTTTAATGGCATCTTGCTTTAACTCTGCCCTTTGTACTCTATATAAACTACCAGAACCAGAATATCCCTGAAGGAGTAATCCCAAGGGACAAATAAAGTTGAGTCTAAGTCTAAAAGAAAGCTCCATATTTTAATGTGCCACCATTGAATACATTAGCGTGAAGGATTTTGTTAATGATGAAAAGTTTGGATCTGAACTGAATTCAAAATGTATTTAAAGTGTGTGAATGCCGAGGTATGCCAGACAAATTTCTGCATTGAAGTATAGGGATCCTTACAATTGGGATGTCTTAGGTTTACAGTGCAGGTTAAGCCATGAAAGCACAGTGGGATTAACATTTCTACTTGCTGTTCGGCAGGAAATAAGTGTGGGGGGTCAAAATAAACAGACCTAGATTCTGGCGTAGAGTACGGAAGAGGATTAGGGTCACTAGAAAAGAAAAAAAAAGTTAACTGATTTTAAAATTTTATTTCAGGCTTTTTTCTCAGACTTCTGACTTTAATCTCAGAATTCTGAATTTCTTCTCATAATTCTGACTTCTTTCTCAGAATTCTGACTTCTTTCTCAGAATTCTGACTTCTTTCTCAGAATTCTGACTTTAATCTCAGAATTCTGACTTTAATCTCAGAATTCTGACTTTTTTCTCAGAATTTTGACTTTTTTCTCAGAATTCTGACTTTTTACTCAGATTTCTGACTTTAATCTCAGAATTCTAAATTTCTTGTCAGAATTCTGACTTCTTTCTCAGAATGCTGACTTTAATCTCAGAATTTTGGATCTTAGTGTAGATAGGCACCATGAAGAAGGAGACGTGGGAGCTCTGAGCTTCACTGACAAAGATGTGAGCTGTTTGGGAGGGCCAGTAACACATTGGTGGAAAATGACGGAATTAGGCGACTTTTTTCATGCCTGAGGGATCCCTGGTGATGCTATTTCATTAATGGAAGAGCAGAAGGTGATTAAAACAAGAGAACTAGTCTCTAAAATAGACATGGCTATGGCTTGATGCTAACATGTTTGTTAGCTGTCAGAATTCAGTGAGCATTCTGAGATTAAAGTCAGAATTCTGAGATTAAAGACAGAATTCTGAAAAAAAAGTCAGAATTCTGACTTTAATCTCAGAATTCTGACTTTTTTTCTCATATTAAACTAAATTAAAATGTAAAAATCAGTTAACTTTTTTTTAATTTTCCAGTGGCCCAAATCCTTTTCCGTAGTAGAGCTCTGTCAAAACAGATTTAAATATCCTGAACAACTTCAAAATAGCCTCCCAGCAGCACACAGGCCGGAGCTCAGCTCCTCGGTCAGCAAGTCACGGAGCGGTTGTAGAAAATCTGCGTCAGCTCATTTTACCTCTGGCCCTGGTGCTGGGGAAGGTTCTCTGCGCCTCATAGAGCAGCTGCAGCGCCCGATCCTTCCGGCCCGAACGTAAACACAGCTTGGCCTTCTCTATGAGCCGGTCTGCTTCTTCTTTGTCCATGACGGGCAAGGGTTTTACTCAGCGGCTCTGAGCAAGAACAAGGTGCGTCAATATCATGTGGTACCGGAGAGAGAGAGAGGAAGAAGAAGAAGAAGCGCCTAGCTTCGGTTACAGACAGCTGCGTAACGTTAGCTCGCTGCAGCCTGCGGTCACTCACAGTCCCGATGGCCGACGGTGGTGCTGGGTGTCCGGCTGCAAACGGACCTGCCGCTGGGCCATTATTTCCAGATAGTCATAAATTAATTTTTTGTCGCTTTTAGCAACGTCTAAAGCGACATAAATGAAAATTACTTCTGATGTCCACAGCTAATGATGGACAAACCGATGGAGACGAGGCTATGTGACGTCATTTCCGGTTTAATGGACTAAATCTGGAGAGAAGCTCTGATGTTCAAGTTAAATTTTGATTAGTTCTTTGAGTTTGTAAGCGAGGTACGAAATTAATCATCATTCCACCGTTTTCTGTTTATTTAAACATGTTAAAATTGTTGAGGAGAATAAGCAGGTGCAGTATGGCAAACGCTCTTATCATTTTATATCACATCTGAATTCAATATCAATTCTAGTCATAACATTTTTTTTTCAGCAGAAACAAACGAGGACGTTTTAACAGAATTCATTTAATAAATATATCCAATATAATTTGATTATGCAGTTTTTTTTTGTTTTTTTTTTACTTTATGAAAAAAAAGCATTTACAGTCATTGGGATGACAAGTTTAATGCATTGAACTTTTGCATAAAATTGTGATTTGCATTTGCTACAGGTATAAATCAGAATCAAAAACGTAGCCTCCGTCAATGATTTAAATATACACATGCTGATCAGTTTTCAAGTATTTATTGCTGTTCATTTGGACAACTTTGGCTCACCACAAAAAAAAAAAATATATATATATATATATTCTCTGCTAAATGTTATGTAAAATTGGGTTTTAAAATAGAAATATTGACCTATTGCAACAGAGCATGGAGGTGATGCGTCCCGTGTCCCTGCTGAGGGATTAAAGAGAAGGGTTTAGGAAGGTTTCACTGTCTGAAAAGCTGCACAAGGGAAACGTTGTTTTGTATACAGTCTGTGTATACAAAATTACCATAAAGTCTAATATTGGCTTTCACCTTGTCTGGATTCCCTTTCCTCTTTTCAGTACCTCATATGATTTCTACGATTTCTTTTTACTGATAAAAGTTGGTCAGTTTATTTAGAAACCTTTAGACTTCTTTTTTCTCTGGGTTTTAAACGTGTCATGGGACAGGATCCCCCGTCATTCACAATGGGAAAGCAAAAAAAAAAAGCATATTATTCAAATGAAACAGATGTATACTGGTAGTTAAGTGAAGAAATTAAACTCACCTACTCACCTAACTGTGCTCATATTTAGTCAGAGCAATATCTAAAACAGTTGTACCTGAGTTAAACACAAATAAACAAATAATTGCACTAAAGAGTGTCCTATTTGGGTTCACCAAGTCTCAATAGCAACCTAATACCTTTTATCACAGTAAATCTAGACAGACCTGTAGATCTAGATTGACCCAGATGATAAAGCCCCAATCCAGCCAATCCTCCAGCCAGACCTGACTGGATTCATAACAAATCTGTTAAGGGACGAACGGAGTAGGTAAGTATTAAAGAGTCATTCTAATCTCAAAGAGCTAAAGCTCATCAAAGTGTTAGTGGACACATGTGAAAACCTAGTCAGCAATTATAGGTGTATGACTACTACTATCAATACTACTACCAATCATTATGACTGGCTTTTCTCTTTTTAAATCAATATAAATAAAACAGCTACATTGAGCTTGATTAATATTTTTTTAAATCTAAAAATAGATTTAAGCTTAAATGTATACACCTAAAAACGCACACTCAAATAATTCTACGTTCAATAGATTGCTTGGTAATGTACAGTAGAAGGGGATCCCTGAAAAACTGACATAGAAATACCAAGAAGTTAAAGTTCACTTAATTTCATCTTTGTTAATTAAAACAGTTTCTAAATGGACCATCTGCATTGGAAGGGTCTCCTTGAATGTGTACATTTTGAAGCATCATATCATACCTTCTTTTTGACATAATTAAACACCATTTGGGGTCCTGAGAAACCATTAACGTGAAAAAAAGTTAAAATATAATTCATTTCAGTTTGTTTTTGCTGTGCCCGAAGCACAAGAAATATTTCACTAGGGTTGTAAAAATTGCACAACAAAATTTGTTCATGCATATTTTATTCAAGAGTAAAAAAATGTGATTTGTCCCATAGGGCATGCTTACAGTGTGTGTATTATTTAGGAAGTCAAATGCCAAAACATATCTCCATAGATAAAAAATGTTGCAAGATAAAATCCATTATATCTCTCTGTTGAAGTATGCATTTTGACTATACGAGAAACCAAAGAATGAAAAGAACCATAAGCTAAATCGTAACAATAATAATATCAGCAGTAAATATAACCAGAATACAATGTGTCCTGTTAAAGGTGTGACACCTGATTTTTCTGTGTGTCCAGTTCATTTACATTTGAGAAAACCATGCTATCATGCTTTGGCAGCCTGAAAGAGTAGCTTTTCACTGAGATTATATTCATTCACACTATTGAACATTTTCTGTACATCAGTACAACAGAAAAAATATGTATATATAGCACAAGGCTTCACACCTTAGAAGGGCATCTCTGCATACAAGAAATGAATATAAAAATTAAAAGCAGTGGTAATAAATAACAAACTTAAAGCAAAAAAAAATGGACCAAAAACAATCAAAGAAAGCCTATTTAGAAAATCTTAGAAAACAAGACAAAACTACAAATATAATCCAAAAATAAATAAAATTCAAGTTTACTATATGAAACACAACTATCACAATTATAATCTCACATAACAACTAGGAACTTAACTGCATGCATTGATGCGTTCCATACCATAGATGCTGTGTTAAGTCACTTTTGTCCATGTTTCATTCACATACCTTCATTGCTGAAAAGAAAGATGGGATCCAAACCAGGGAAAGAATAATGAATGATTAAAATTCTAGAAATTTGTCACAGGGGTTGCATCCCAAAAGTATGTCTAACATAGATCATTTTAGAGAATGTTCACTATTCTAGACGTTTTTCAGACTTAATTTCATACATTGATTAGGCATGAGGATTTTGCATTTAGATCACAGTGAGGCTTTACATGTTATTTGTTTTCTACTTTTCCTGTTTTGTTAATACCATACAGTGAGCATGAATGAAGTTAAATGTATTCTGAAATTTTGAATACATTTTTTTCTCACTCCATAAACATGACCTGCTGTATGCGTCTTTGTCACAAGGAAAGTACTACTGATTATTTTTACCAAATCAGTGATGGATTTTTGTACAAACTGAAAAGGCATATTTTCTTAGACCTTTCATTAAGGCCCTTCTAGACTACTTTGGATAAAAACATTTTTAAACTGATCTTTTCCTCTTCATTTTAGTTTCAGACTATACAGGCTATGGGATTCCAAATAAAGATGCTGTTATATCTACACTGGGCCAGCAGGTGGCGGTGATGTTGGCAACAACGGCATTAAAATAATGTCCTGAGCTTGATTAAAGCAGTTCTAGGCTAAAGACTATTCAAATCAATCGTTTCTTGTATTTTCTTTGACTTTTCAAAAAAGAAAAGAGAAGAAAAGAAAAGGTTAATGTATTTCTCACCCAGGAGGACTGGGGGGATTGCAAATTCAGGAGACAATTTTAGTTTTGCAACATCCCATGTCAATATGGACAGGGCCTCAGTCCATTAATTTCACCTATCTAAGGCTTTAGATTATGAATAACAGTACTGATATTGTTTATGATTAATTGAAACTTTTAGAACATACTTCATTTTACTTTTTGCAGGCATAAAATATAGGAATGTTTAAAAAAAAAAAAAAGCAAAAAGTGCAAAACCTCCAGGATGCTGATGTATGCTTAACTCACTGTTTAAACACAGGGGAGAAATAGTTTACAAATATTGACAGCAGGGTGTCAAACACACATTAATTATTTTCCTCTGAAATTAGAGTTTTTGTAGATGATAGATTATGTTCAAAAAGGAGTAAACCATTTAAACCTGAAAACAAACTGTCTAGGTTTTGTTTATTTTTTCTAGGGTGAGATCCGTATTCAATGGAGTGTCGTTTTAAAGCTACAGTGTGTAATTTTCAGCGACATCTAGCGGTCAGACTGCAGACTGCAGCAACATGAACGTCTCCCCCCCACCGCTTCTCCCCCCCAACAGTACGGCGAGCGTTACGGGACAAAATGTCTTCCACGACGTCCGCATCACCTACCTTCTCAAGTGATGAGGTTTGTTTACATAGATAATTTTACAGATAGTATTTCATTAGTCTGTGTAGGGTATAGATTTCATGTAGACTTAAGATAATAAATATACCCGTTATTTTTTCTACGTCGTTGTGACGTTTTGGTGAGCTGCTTTGCATGGTGATATAAACAGACGAAGTAATTGTAGTCATTAGTTTAACAGCGAGATTGTGTTCGCTGGAAGAATATATATTCCCCGTTTACAGAGTCCAAGTCTTGTTTGTGGCACGGGGGTTACAAGGCAAGGAAGAGGGAAAGGAAGAGGGCAGAGAGGCCGGGGTGAGCGTGCAGCTGGGGCCAGGCGAGAGAGGGGAGCCAGCGGGGTGAGAGCAGAGGAGGAAAGGCTTGAAGATCTCCAAAGGAGCCGGAGAGGAGTAACCGAGGTATATATCCAGAAAATTATTGTACAGAAAATTACTGAATCATTACCTGTGAAACGTCAGGGACGTTGCTGAATAAGTACACTGGAGAGTAACAGCATCATCACGCAGCATGTTATTGTTTTAGACAGGTCTGAGCATCCTGTACTCCAAAAACTGCAGTGATATTAGACAATTGTGTGTGTAGGATTAATTACCTGTCCAAGAGAAAACTGGCAACTTGAGCGTCACTTTGAAAACCTTTTTCCTCCATCAGTGACTTCCATCGTGTAAATGCCGTGCCAATGTTGATCCGTGTTTTTTGCCGTTTCTTGTCACGCTTGCGTTTATTCTCGTCGTGTTTCCGCTTCTTAGATGACGGGGGTTCAGTGTCCGCCGCTTTTCGTTGTGATACAGAGTAGGCATGATCCTCCATTCGTCTGATGTTTGGCCACACAGTGCCAAACAGTTTGCAAAGTCACTCACGCCTGCCGCCTTGTTTACCTTTCTTGTTACCGAGGCGCAGTATACCTGCTTCTTCTTCTTCTTTGGTTTCAGGCAGACTAAACGCTTCTCAGGCATAATACTGCCATCTACTGTTCAGTACCGTCTCAGTTCATCTCTCTCAACTTGCCGTAGTTATTTTCGAGC